CGCTTGCCTTGCATGCTCAAGGCCCTGGGTTCGATTCCTCAGCACCACATAAGCAAAAAAAAAGAAAAAAAAAGCCGGAAGTGGCGCTGTGGCTCAAGTGGTAGAGCGCTAGCCTTGAGCTGAAGAGCTGAGGGACAGCGCCCAGGCCCAGAGTTCAGGCTCCATGACCGGACCAAAAAAAAAAAAAAAAAAAAGTCAAGCACTCATCTGAACTGTATTAGAAAGTACATTTTATCCCTAATTGGAATACCACACAAAGATTGGTACAAATATGGAGGATTTTGAAAATTAAAATTTTCCAGGTCATTTTCACAGAACACTAAAGCACCCTGAAGCTTTGATAGCTCCTTACCACAATGAATTGTTTCTTGTTAAAAAAGAACTTTTTCTTACATACATCTTATTGTCATTTATATACACGCTTCAGGGCACAGTCACTAAGCACTTCTAATTAATATAAATTACCAAACCAGGTAATTGATAGTCTTGAAGAATCAGAATTGTCATTCAGCAGAAGAAAAAGTTTCTAAGTAGAAAATCATCAGAAAATCATCTGCTTAGGCTGTTTTGTGTTATTTAATATATCCACAACCCTCTGTTGACCAACAAGGGTTTAAAATGATATGCAAAGAGTTAATGGCTCATCCCTAGAATCTTAGGGACTCAGGAGGATAACTGTTTGAAGCCAGCCCAGGCAGAAAAGTCCAAGAGATTCCCTCTCCAATTATCTAGCAAAAAAGCTAGACTGGAGGTATGATTTAAGTGGTAAAGCACATGTTGCTGTGAGCAACAAAACTGAGGAGATAGTATGCACACAAAAAATAAAGTAAGGGGGGCTGGGAAGGTGGCTCAGTGGTAGAGCGCTTGCCTTGCATGCCTGAGGCCCTGGGTTCGATTCCTCAGCACCACATAAGCAAAAAGAAAAAAGCCAGAAGTGGCACTGTGGCTCAAGTGGTAGAGCGCACCTTGAGCTGAAGAGCTGAGGGACAGCGCCCAGGCCCAGAGTTCAGGCTCCAAAACCGGACCCAAAAAAAAAAATAAATAAATAATAAAGTAAGGGCTAGGAAGGTGGCTCAGTGGTGGAGTGTTTGCCTTGCATGCATGAGGCCCTGGGTTCGATTCCTCAGCACCACAGAAGCAAAAAGAAAAAAGCTGGAAGTGGCGCTGTGGCTCAAGTGGTAGAGCGCTAGCCTTGAGCTGAAGAGCTGAGGGACAGCGCCCAGGCCCAGAGTTCAGGCCCCACGACTGGACCCAATAAATAAATAAAGTAAAATGAAGCAATGTATCTTAGCATCGATATGGAAAGAAATTTATAATGTATTTTCAGTGAAAAAAGTATATTATAAGTGGCAATATTAATCCAATTTTGGTGAAACACACAAATACACACACATATCTGATAGGAATACATTAAGAGTTGTTAAGAAGTTCATAATTCTTAATTTTTAAAACATTTTTTTTGCCAGTCCTGGGGCTTGAATTCAGGTCCTGGGCACTGTCCCTGAGCTTCTTTTGCTCAAGGCTAGCACTCTACCACTTAAGCCACAGCACCACTTCCAGATTTTTCTGTTTATGTGGTACTGAGGAACTGAACCCAGGGCTTCATGCATGCTAGGCAAGCACTCTACCGCTGAGCCACACTCCCAGCCCATCTTAATTTTTTAATATCTTTATCCTTCTATTTTTCTACAATGAACACTTATGGCTCTGACATCATAATAAGTCACACAGACATTGAAAAATGGATCTGGAACCTAAACTACAACCAACTTAGCACCCAAACTTCCTCTGCAGCCACCAATATCCTTTTCACCCTGTGCCTGAGGCTAGGCAAAGATGGGATGCTGAGATGTTTTTAGGTACCAGTCATCAAATATCAAGATGTACCCAAATTCCTCCTCTCTGCTCACCTCAACTTTCAGAACCATCAGCTTCCTACTTACCAGTAACTCTCTGAGCTGTTAAGACCAGAAGTCCTTAGCTATGGTTTAAGATTTTACCTATCACACTCACTGATTTAGGAAGATCAATGACAAAACCACTGAAGTTACTCTGGCAGAAATCCAATTCTAAAAGATGGAGTGAATTATTTTCCTTCATTTTAGGCTAGCAAATGCTAGTCCATTCTGATCCCAAGGAAAAAATAGGCCCACCAACTTCAAACACTTTAAATGTAGCATCCAGAGAGGAGCCCAGTGCTGCTTCTTCATAAGATTCTTTGGCATCATGATGGCTGCAGAAACTGGAACCTTCCAAGATCTGATCAGCCTAGAGCAAGCTTATCACAGGAACAGGTATCATTACATCATAAAGTGTAAAGATTGTTCTGGCAGCTCAATAAGAGCATCCCAGGGGAAAAAAAGCATCTGACGCACTGCAATTTCCCAGCTAGTATCCCTAATAGAAAGAACTGATAAAGCCGGGCGACGGTGGCTCATGCCTGTAATCCTAGCTACTGTAATGTATATGCTGATCATGAGTGAAACCATGGGTTCAATCTTCAGCATTGTGGGAGGAAAAAAGGAAGAAAAAGAAGAAATCAGTAGGAAAGAAGTGATAGCACAACAAACATTAGAGATAAATGCAACAGGTGGGAAAGGTGACTAGAGACAGTGGACTCTGTCTTAAGAAGTATTCTGAGGGACTCATCTCATAGAGTAAGCCAAGAAGTTACCAGATTCAGGGCTCTAAGGCACCCAACAATTCCTTAGTGCTCCTTACATGCAATTCCCATAAGTGAGGCCTAGCAAGGCTATGTACTTAAAAATAAATTGTCTTCTCACTTCCTCCTAGCCTAATCTTTAAGAAACCTCCCACAATTCAGGTAAGAGCTTCATCCTGTTACAAAATATTTTTAGAATCAGACTACAACAAAGTAGTACAGAATATGCACAGCATTATTTTAATAAAAAATAACTTTAAGGATCTTAAAAATGTGACCACTGTAGGCATATTCCAGGACTGAACCACTCCTCTTCCCTAATTATCCCTCAAAGGAAATAGATCAGGTCCTGTGGGCAAAGAGCGCAAACATGTCTAATTACAACATGAGCACTTGGTCGGTGAAGAATTTGAACATTCTTGAACTCTAGCCACGTTTCAGAAGACTTTCCCACTCATGAGTTTAATCTTGCTAAGAAAGGTTACAGATGGGGTTGGGAAGGTGGCTCAGTGGTAGAGCGCTTGCCTTGCATGCCTGAGGCCCTGGGTTCAATTCCTCAGCACCACATAAGCAAAAAGAAAAAAGCCGAAAGTGGTGCTGTGGCTCAAGTGGTAGAGCGCTAGCCTTGAGCTGAAGAGCTGAGGGACAGTGCCCAGGCCCAGAGTTCAGGCCCCACGACCGGACCCAAAAAATAAATAAATAAATAAAAGGTTATAGATCAACTGCCCTTCAACCAAGGTTCTATCAAAAAAAACAAAAACTGAAGAAAAAAAAGGAGAAACCAACTGCATTATTTACATGTGACACTACAGTGTGCTGCAAATTTAAGATGACTGACTCCATATCAAGCACTAACAGAGGAAGTGGTTTTTAATATGAAAATTAAAACTAAATAAACGACCCATTTCAAAAATACTCTCTACTGGGGAAAAACACTCATCTTGAATTTGAAGATACATAAGCAATGGCTTCAGGCCCAAATCCCAGATCGCCCACAGTCCCACTTGTCCACCTTACTCAAGTAAAAAGTGGAAGACAATGGATTCGGCCTGAATTTGGCTGTTTCCGTACGTTACTGATTAAAGAGCTGGGGCCCGAGGGGTGGGGGTGGGGGAACCTTTCACAAGCCCAAGTCCAAAATCAGAAAGCATTCATAGGTAATCATTAAGAGCTAAGGCTCAAAAAGCCTTGAAATCTGCCAAGTACAGGTGGCTCACCACTGTAAACCTAGCCACTCAGGAGGCTGAGATTTGAAGATTAAGGTTCCAAGCCAGCCCACACGGACGGAGACGCTCATAAATGAATAAGCCAGAGGTTCTGCTGTGGTTCACATTGCAGAGGTATGGGACAGAGCGCCTGGCCCTCGCTGAAGGCCCAGCACCCGCATACAGGCATGCATACATACACATACGCATAGACGCACACCCTTCAAAATTGTCTAGGAGTTCTCATGGCCCCACTTTCCGCCCCCACGCCTCTCCCCGGGCTTCGTAACGCTGGCTTCTGTAATATTCCTCCAAGCCGCCAGACCCTCACTGGGCGGCCCGGCTGGGGCTGCCTCCCCAGACCCCCCTCCGCAGGTTCCTCGCATCCTTCTCGTCTTGGCTCAGAGCACCTTTACAAGGATGAAAAAGGATGTCCTTTCTCTCTGTATTTATCTTCGGATCTACCGGATCAGTGCTGCATTTTATGTACGGTTAGCCCAGTGTCTCCTCTCACCCCTCCTATGAGCCCCGGGAAAGCAGAGGGCTCTATGTTCGGCTCACAAATGCCCAGCACACAGCAGGAGCTCAGAAAGTGTCTTTTCCCAATGGATGGACTTGTAGCAGGGAGGCTACACTGGAGGTGGAGGGAGAACGAAGCGACAGCGGAGGCTCACGGGGGGACGGGGGACGGGGGTCGGGGTGCGGGAGGGCAGCGAGGCCCGCGGCGGCGTCCGAGGGCGGCTGCGGCTGGCCAGCCCGGAAAACTCCCCGACCGAGTCCGGCCTCACCTGGCCGCGGGATGCGCGCGGGGCCCCGCGGGGGTTCCGACCTTGCAGCGGCGCCCGACAGCCCCCCGTTCCCCTCCGGGGTCCCCCGGGGCGTCCCGGGCCACGGGGCCATCCCACGACGTCCGGGTGCGGGGCCCGGCCCTCGGCACCTGCCCGTCGCCCCCCCCCCCGGGGCCCGGGCCCGGCCGCGGGAGGCCCCCGAGCGCCCGGAGGCCTCGCCCCGCCCCGCACACCGGCAGGAAGCGCTCTCCCGCCCGGCCCGCGGCAGCGGCGGCGGCGGCGGGGCCCCGGAGCCCCTGCCCCGGCCGCTCCAGCCCGACGTGGAGCCCTGCGGCGCCCGCTCACCTCAGGGCGCACGTACGACACGAAGGACGGCTTGGGCGCCTTGGTGCCGCCGCCACCGCCGACAACGCCTTTCCCCAGCATTCCGCCGCCTGGGAAGCCACGACGCGCGGGAGCAGAGGCGGCGGCTCGGTCCCCAGCTTGGGCAGCGGCGGCGGCCACCAGCACTAGCAGCCGGGGCTCCGCCCATCCCTAGGGCCTCGGCGGCCGCGGCGCCGCCCGCATCCGGCTCCGCCGCAGACACCGCTCGCCCCGCCCAGGCCCGCACGCCCCGCCCACCAGCCGAGAAGCTCCTGGGCGGAGGCCACGCCCCTCTCCCTTCACTTGGGAGATCCGCCTCCAGCCGCAGGCTCTGCTCCACCCGCGGGCGGTAAACTCAGGCTGCCTGTGATTGGCCAGCAAACACCCTATTTGAATGAGCCTGGAGTGATGTTTCTTCTAGCCAATTCAGAGAGCTCTTTCTCAGTACTTCCCCGCGATTGGAGAAGAAGGATGTCCTGGTTGCCCAATGATTCTGCGGCGACTTAAATTGTAAGCAGTTGTTCACCGCGGTTGATCTTTGTTGCTTTGGAATGAAACCTCTAAAGGTGTGAAGAGTCGCTCCAACGACTTTCAAGCTCTATAGTTTTAAGTGTGATAGCAGAGAGACAATAGTACTTCTTTTATCTACTCTCCCTAGTTGGCGACAAAACCCTATTTTTTATTTTGCCGGTCCTGGGCTTTGAACTCTGGGCCTAGGCGCTGTCCCTGAGCTCCTTTTTGCTCAAGGCTAAACACTTAAGCCCTGGCGATACTTACAACTTTTTCTGTGATTAATTGGAGATTAGTGTCTCACGGACGGTCTTGCCCAGGCTGACTTTGAACCGCGATCCTCAGATCTCAGCTTCCTGAGTGGCTAGGATTACAGTTGTGAGCCATAAGTACCTGACTCAAAACCTTATTTTTTAAGCAAGATTGCAAATACAACTTATTACATTCCATCTTTAAGAGTTGGGGGATAGGGGCTGGGAAGGTGGCTCAGTGGTAGAATGCTTGCCTTGCATGCATGAGGCCCTGGGTTCGATTCCTCAGTACCACATAAGCAAAAAGAAAAAAAGCTGGAAGTGGCGCTGTGGCTCAAGTGGTAGAGTGCTAGCCTTGAGCTGAAGAGCTGAGGGACGGCACCCAGGCCCGGAGTTCAGGCCCCACGACCGGACTCCCCCCCACCCCCCCAAAAAAAAAAGAGTTGGGGGATAAAGTTTAGGGGTGGAGAATTTGTCTAGTATGCGCGTGGCTCAGGGTTTGATTCCACGATCAAAGCATTGGTATCAAGTTTAAGACATAGATGATTAAGACAGGATACAATTCTCAAGAAATTCAGTCTAGCTAGTAGTCGACAGTGTCGTAAGCCTGTAAGCCTAGCCAGTTAGGAGGCTGAACAAACCAGGATCGCAGTTTGAAACCAGCCCATGCAGGAAAAGTCTTTAAGACTCTTTATCTCTAATTAGCCACCAGTAAACAGGAAGTGGAGCTGTGGCTCAAAGTGGTAGAGCAAAAGACACACACAGAGCAAGCAGAGAACAAACTTAGATCTCTCTCCATCTTGTTTTCAGGTTCCCCAGTTTCCAGCCTGTCTTTACTTGACTCCTCAGAGGAGTCTTTTCCAACTGACTGAAAAATTCCTTTGATGCTGAGATCAACTCATTCTCCATCTAATAATAGGAACAGATGGAGGTCCCTAGATATTGAAATACTTTTAATTTGCATTAATATTATAAAGCCTTGTTTTTTGTTTTTTTTTTTTGGGGGGGGGGCGGTTGTGAGGCTTGAATTCAGGGTCTGGGCACTGTCCCTGAGCCTCTTTGTGCTCAAGGGCTAAAGGTGTACCACTTTGAGCCACAGCACCACTTCTGGGTTTTTTTGTTTTTTGTTGTTGTTTTTTTTTTTTGATCGGTCATGGGGCTTGAACTCTGGGCCTGCGCACTGTCCCTCAGCTCTTCAGCTCAAGGCGAGGGCTCTACCACTTGAGCTACAGTACCACTTCCAACATTTCTGTTTTTTGAGTGGTTAATTGAAGATAAGAATCTCATAGACTTTTCTGCTTGGCTGGCTTCAAATCGCCAACCATAGATCTCAGCTTCCTGAGTAGCTAGGATTACGGGCACCAGGCTCTAATGTGCCCTGATTTCTCCGAGGATCATAAATAGCTTACATAGAAATTCACGGCAGACTGAAGTACTCCTGATTCTTCCCAGAAACTGACAGGTGACACCACACTGACAAGTAGGGCAACATTTTACTTTGGCACATAGCTGAAGCCTGCGTCCTTTCTTTGCACTTCCTCCTCTGTGCAGTCAGTCACTTGCAACAGCTATTTGTGTATTTTACTCAACTTTATCTAACAGGTGCTTTCCTGGAACATAGTAGGGACTTAATATTTATTTGCACGTGTGTGAAGTAGTATCAAATTAAAAACTGAGAAGACAGGTTAGTAAACAGGAAAGAAAACTTTTGTGTGTATAAATATTTTTAATGACTATATCCCAAATTTCAATTTTAACCAGTGGTCTGGCCATGATTGTAAAAGGGAAGGCTGGGGGCCAGTGGCTCACATCTGTAATCCTAGCTACTCAGGAGGGTGAAATCTGAGGATCATGGTTCAAACCAGCCCAGGCAAGAAAGTCCGCGATACTCTTATTTCCAGTTAACCACCAGAAAACCAGAAGTGGCGCTGTAGCTCAAGTGGTAGAGTGCTCACTTTGAGCTGAAGAGTTCAGGAACAGCGTCCAGGCCCAGAGTTCAAGTCCCATGACCAACCAAAAACAGGGGCAGGAGCAGGGGCAGCGGGGAGGTGGGGGGGTGGGGGGGTGGGGAGGGGGAGTAGGGAGGGAAGAAAGGGAAGGTGATGGGGGAACACACATGATTTAAGTGTATTAAATATATAGAGAGAGATGTATGTGTATGTACAAATATCTATATGTATACATATATTTATATATATGTATATATGTGCATATACAACTAATAACTGAAAATAACATAAATCCACTAAAAACCCTCGTAAAGAGAAGGGTTTAGGGAAAGTAATATAGCAGGATGGTGGCTGGTCGCTCACGCCCATAATCCTAGCTACTTAGGAGACTGAGATCTGAATATCCTAGTTCAAACCTAGCTCAGGCAGGAAAGTGAGACTCTTATCTCCCATTAACCAGTAAAAAGCTGGAAGTGGAGCTGTGATTCAAGTGGTAAAGTATTCACCTTGAATGAAAAAGCTAGGGACAACACTCAGGCCCTGAGTTCAAGTCCCAGTACTGGCATAAGTAAATAGACCAACAAAACAAAAAATAGAAAATTAACAAAATTAAAGTAAAAATAGAAAAGCATATTACTTCTTGCTGCAACAAAGGGTCTATCAACTGTCCTCTGAAGATGGTGAGAAGTCCTAGGTTAAGAAATGTCTGCATTCCAGGTTGGAGGCATGGCTCAATGGATAAGTCCCAGGTTTGGACCTAAAAAAATGTCTACATTGTTTTTTGGGTTTTTTTGTTGGTTGTGGTGCTTGAACTCTGGGCTTGGGTGCTATCTCTGCACTCTTCAGCTCAAGGCAAGCACTCTACCACTTGAGCCAAAGCGGCACTTCCGGTTTTTCTAGTGGTTTATTGGAGAAAAGAGTCTCATGGACTTTCCTACACAGGCTGGTTTTGATTCTCAATCGTCAGATTTCAGCCTCCTGAGTAGCTAGGATGTAGGTGTGAGCCACCAGCGACTGGCTTTCTGCATTGTTTTTAATCCTGTGGTGGCATATGACAACCTACTATGAGATCTTGCTGTTTTGCCCAGGCTGACCTCAAATTCCTGGGCTCAAATGAGTCTTATGCCTCAACCTCCCCAATATAAGAGACAATATGCATGTACTGCCGCTATCAAACAAAACATTTAACCTAAGCTAGCCAAGTGGTAGGATACTTTAAAGGCTTTTGTAAGCTGTAATTGTCCTTCTACAAACACAAGTTAATGGTCTGCTTGGATTACTCATTAAAGGTTATCAGCACTGTACTGTGATTCATCTCCAGCAACTTCCAATTTCTACTGGAAGCTCTCTAAAACAGGGATGAGACTCCTTTATAACCAGCACATAGCTAGGCCCCCAATGTAATGTGTTATGTGTTGAGTTGGACCCATAGTGAGGATCGGAGGAACAGAGATTTCCACTCATTACTAATGTAAGGATAAACTGATGGGGCAAGAGGGAAGGCAATTTTAGGATGTCTATTAAAATCATCTCAATTTCAATTTTAAAAACATATCCTAAATGCCTATGCATTTAGGTTTGAAATGACATCCAACCAAGTTTATTGCAGTTTTGTGACAACAGATTAGAAGCAGCCTGTATGTTCTTTTTGACTAGTTAGGATTATAGACAGAAGTCACCAGTGCCTGGTTTATACGTACTCCATAGATGCATAGAACATCTTTGGGTAGACATAAAGGCAATTATGACATTGGTTGCTGTTTGAAAGGGAAGATGGAAATTTAGAGAAAAAGTATTTCCACTATTATACTCTTTTTACCTTTGAATTTTGAACAATGAAAATGATTAACAGTAAATAATTTATTCTTTTGTCAGTCATAGGGCTTGAACTGAAGGCCTGGGCACTGTCCCTGACCTTTTCACTCAAGGCTAGTGCTCTACCATAGTGTCACTTCCAGTTTTCTGGTGATTAATTGGAGATAAGAGTCTTATGCTTGCCCATGTAATTGTAACTCCTCTGTACAGTATTTTCACAATTAAAAAAAAAAGAGTCTTATGGACTTTCCTGCTTGATCTGGCTTTGAACCACAATCCTCAGATCCCAGCCTCCTGAATAGCTGGGATTACAGGCACCAGCACCCAGTGACTTTTCCATTTTCTGCCTCTGCTTGTCTTGACATAGATCCCAAATCATACCATCCTACAAATCTATTCCAATGCCAATACCTCTGTTAACATCTTTCTTACAGACCTTTTCTGAATTTCTAAGTATCTGGATTCTGTAGGATGCTTTACCTCATCTGCTTGAATGTCTATAAATAACTGGACTAAGTCCATGCATTTGATGTCTTCCTGAGAGGTCGGCTAGGAGCTCCTCAGGTTAGAGGTCTCTCCTGTGCTACATAGATTTTTTTTTTTTTCCCCAGCACTGTCCTCATTGCTCTGACTCGATTGTGGGATGGATGG